TTGCAAAAATTCACTTAAATAATATACCCACCTTTTTGAGAACAAAATCAGAAGGGGTGGAATTAGGCTGGGGAAGCTGTCAGCCCAGGATGGAAGTCTGTACCCAGGTGAAAGAGAAAAGGAGGGAAGAGTAAGTGGAACTTTTCTAAATTTCTGTGCTTTCCAAGGAAGGTCCTCCAAGATCACCGAGCCTTCTGGAAGTCAAAGCTGCCCATCAGGACCCCACGAATCCCAGCGATGGCTCAGCCTCAGAATCCTGGGGACCTCGGTGTCTGCCTGAGAGGGAATTGCAGGGCGTGAGGCCTGAGTACAAGCTTCACCCTGGATGTCAGGGAGCAGCAGCTGGGCACCTCCTCCAGGTGCTCTGTGATTCCCGTAGGTGAGGGGGGGGGATGTGCATTCTAATGTCCAACACACTGTCCATTTTTATATGGACCGTACATTTGTATGTTGTCTTCATGAATGACATATGAAGGAAACATGAGGTGTGCAATCAATGTTAATATCCACATTTACCCTAACTACATTATTCCTTAATTCTGAACAATGTCCTGACATAGGGTTGCCTGTATCATCAGTAATTGTCAAATGGATTTCGGATCCATGTTCTATAGTTTTATTGCTTTCTCATCCAGCGATGAAGGTCTGAGTAGAGTACTCTGGGCCTTTTCAACACTGTCCCTTTATCCCTGGGTGAATATCAGAGGTTTACCTGATGCAGAATCTGGGATATGTTCCGTTCTGCCTGCGGAGATCCCCAATGCAGTTTACATAGTCAGGATATTTTCCCATGTCAGGGGACCTCCAGCTACCCCATGGCCAGTGATTGCTGCACCAGTCTATCTGTGGGGGTCACAGTTTAGGCACTTGTTATTCTATCTCACCTTCATTCCAATTTAAAACTCACCATATTCATAAATGTCAGCAGTCATTCGATCTCAATTATCCTCACATTATTTTTTCATCCTTTCAGTAGTATGTTTAATTAGAGAAAAGTGTTACCATTTAGTCTTACAATCTATCTTCAGAACTTTTTGTACTAATCATAAAAATGAAAACAATGCCCTTCTTTGGGAGATCGTGAATGAATCTACTATGAACATTCAAGCACAGTTTGTGTGTGTGTGTGTGTGTGTGTGTGTGCATATTCTGTCTGGTACATACCTAAGAAAATGATTGATAGATTTTATAGTGAACTGCAGTAATTTTGGAATAAAATTGACCCAAATAATGTATCTGCAGAGCCACTCAGCTGACCCCATCAACTTGCTGGGAGAAAGCCCAGTGCACAAGGGGGTCACATGGGGAGATCCGAGGACCAGCTGCTGAACAAGAGTTGGGGCCAGAAGCCAGATATGTGACCAGGCTTCCTGGCCATGCACCTCCTATCCCTGCGGTACCCAGGCTGCAGGGGAGCACAGGGCCACCAGGACATGCTCAGAGTTGCCCTGCAGAGGCCCACTGAAGCACAGGTGCATAGAGGGACCTGCAAGGAAGTTGCTACCCACCACTTGGACCTTCCTTCTTTTCCTTAGCAACGTCTAACCCTCAAGAGAAAATCCAGCACATCATTTGTAAACTGTGCTCTGACACAACTAAAACGAAACCGACATAAAAATAATTATACAAGCTGATTTTAATATTACAGCTTTGTAATAGAGTTTGAAGTCTGGTAGATTGATGCCTCCCATTTTGTTTTTATTACCTAGAATTGTTTTTGCTATGTGGGGTCTTCTCTGGTTCCATACGAAGTGTAAAATTAATTTTTCTACATCTGTGAAGA